AAATTAGATGAAAAATTTGAATCACTCAAGAAATCATTCTATATTATAATGAAATCATTAATCAAAACGGAGATTGTTACAGCCATTGATCAAGTCAAAATTGAATTTAGCGAGACTACAGACTTTCTACATCAGGAGCAAAAAGAATCTATTGAATAAAACTATTATTTACGGATTTTATCGCGTTTAATTACTTTAATTTATTTTTATTATTATCCCGACGTTTCGGGTGCTTTACAGCGCCCATGGTCACGGGGGGGACTGAGATGCTTGACGTCCCAATGTCATAGTTGGTCCGGCTACCTTCAGTTTTTTAATATTAAATTTTGGTCCGATTTACGCAAAACGAGCTTATAGTATCATGAAGTCTTGCAGTGGTATGCTTGGGTTTGGGTTTAATTTTGTTAATTATAGGATCCCAAGCAGATGGTAGCACCCAACCATCGAACATTAAGACATACTACAAGCCGCTGAAGAAGATTAGTCAATTTTTACCATCTATCAAATGTAATATTCCTCTACAAGATGCAGGTGTGTACAAGCTAGATTGTGAATGTGGTCTCTCTTACATAGGTCAAACAAAGAGATCTATAAAAACCCGCGTGAAGGAACATGTAGCTGAGGTGAAGCACCGACGCTCCGGGAAGTCTGCAGTCTGCGAACATGTTCAAAATCGTCCCCACCATTACATTAGATTTGATAAACCACAAATTCTCGCAAAAGAACACCGATTCCTACCAAGGATGATACGCGAGGCTATTGAAATTAAAAAACATCCAAATTTCAATAGAGAAGATGGTTGGGTGCTACCATCTGCTTGGGATCCTATAATTAACAAAATTAAACCCAAACCCAAGCATACCACTGCAAGACTTCATGATACTATAAGCTCGTTTTGCGTAAATCGGACCAAAATTTAATATTAAAAAACTGAAGGTAGCCGGACTAACTATGACATTGGGACGTCAAACATCTCAGTCCCCCCCCGTGACCATGGGCGCTGTAAAGCACCCGAAACGTCGGGATAATAATAAAAATAAATTAAAGTAATTAAACGCGATAAAATCCGTAAATAATAGTTTTATTCAATGTGTAGTGTTCGCGTAAATTTAAGAAAAGAATCTAGTCAAATATTGAATCTGCTGAAATATAAGTTAAGGTACTAGAAAAAATTTGCCGCAGTCACAACGAGGAGATTCAGGCAGTTCCCGAAAAACGGAATGAGAATCTTTTGACGCTTGTCAAAAATATTTATGCTACAGTAAAACTACCAACGACAGACGCTGAAATTAGTATGTGTCGAAGGATCGCTAAATTGCCGACCACATCAGCCCAACGCCCGCGAAATATTTTGCTTTCTCTGCTTTCCATTCGGCATCGTGATAATCTTCTGTTAATGGTCAAACGTTATAATAAGGCTAACCCTGGCGACACATTAAGCTCTGTACATTTAGGAATTCAAGGAGACAGATGCCCAATTTACGTTTCCGAACATCTCTCTACGGAATCCAAGGAGTTTTTTGCATTGACACGGGCTACTGCTCGTGGAAAATATAAATACGTATGGGTCAAATTCGTAAATATATATGTGAGAAAAGCTGATAATTCTTCAGCAGTGCGTATTAAAAACAAAGATTGCTTGGCTAAAATTAGTTAATTGATTTGTATTGTAGTAACTCACTTTTTGTTTTTTTTTGCGTTTAAGTTTTGTATTTTTTTGTCTTGTATGTTAATTTACTATCAAAATGTTAATCGTATGCGTTCTAAAACACATCAGCTGTATACAAATATACTAAATAATGAATATGATATTATTTGCTTAACCGAAACTAACTTAGATGAAGGTTATTTTTAATGAAGAATTATTTGATGAGCGTTATAACGTATTCAGACGGGACAGAAGGGAATGCGCTTATGACGGACGAAAACATGAGAGAGGAGGTGTGATCTTGGCCATAAAAAATGTTTTACTGTTACTCGTAGGCAATCTTGGGACAGTAACTTTGAGGATATTTTGGTTTCACTTATTTCTATAAATTATTTGTCATTAAATATCTGTGTTTGTTATCTTCCACCTTATCTTCAGTCGGACGACATCAATAAACTTATGAAACACTATCAAAATATCATACTTAGCAATGCTCATTCTGGACATTTCTTATTGGTAGGCGATTTTAACTTTCCTGACGTAGACTTGGAGATCTCTAATTTAGAATTACGTTTAATTATAAATACTTCTGCTGGCACTAAGGGCCGTTTTCTTTTAGATACTATGGCATTATGCGTTCTAAAACAATATAATAATTCTAAAAATCAGAATGATCGTCTACTTGATCTCGTTTTATCAACTATGGACGAACTAAGAGTAAAAGAGGTAGAACCATTATTGAAACCGGACGATCATTATCCATCTATAGAAATTAATGTTAATTATACAGATAATAAACAAAATTTTGTTAAATTTAATCATAAACTTTTAAAACCAAATTATCATAAATGTAATTTTGAAAAACTTAAAGATAATTTAAGAAAATTTAATTGACATGAACTGTTAATTGACTTGGACCCTGATAGTGCTATGTACAAAGAACTTAATTCAGCTATTTTGCTGTTTGCACCATTTAAAAAATGTAATCCTAACCAATACCTATACTGGTTTAACTATCCTCTTATTCGTTGCCTTCGAGATAAGAAAAAGTGTCATAAGTTGTATAAAAAGTTGGTAATCCGAGGGATTATGATACATACAATATGTTGAGAACTCGTAGTAAACACTTAATTACAGTTAATTGAAGAATACACACTTAATTGAAGCCTGCTACAAATCGATTCAAAATGAAGTTGAGAATAGTTTAGGTAAAAACGTTAAACATTTCTTTAAGTTTGTTAATAATAAAAAATCAAGTAAAGGTATCCCCGAATCCAAGACTCATGATGCTAAAACTGCTACAGATCCCCAAGGAATCTGTGAACTTTTTTCAGCGTATTTTGTTTCTGTTTATGAAAAACCTGACAACTGTGAACCCAAATTTAATATACCGGACAGGTCTGATCTTGCAAATCAAATATAGCCATTAAGTAGAGATGACATTATTAGAAAGATTAAAACACTAGAGGCTCACAAAGGCCCCGGTCCCGATGGAATTCCATCATTATTTATATAATATTTTTCTAGACGTAGTCAGATCGTTGCCATAAAAGGTTTCCTCTCCAAACCAGTACATGTAACGTCCGGAGTTCCTCAAGGGTTCCATCTTGGCCCTCTTTTGTTTATTATATTTATTAATGACTTGGTAGACCATATCACAAGTGAATATTTATTATATGCAGACGATATGAAAGTTTTCCGTATAATCGATGATGTTAATGACTGCCTCTTGTTGCAACGGGACCTTAACAATATTCATACCTGGTGTTCTCATAATAAAATGCATTTGAATGTAACTAAATGTTTTTTTGTAACTTTCACAACTAAGAAAACTCGTCAAAGTATACATACCATATTACCTTTGTTTGAAAGTAATGTTGCTAAAGATTTGGGCGTTATCTTTGACTCTAAACTAGATTTTAAGCAACATTTTAATCACTGAATGCAACGTGGTTATCAGTTAGTTGGTTTCGTTACATGATTTATGAAGGAATTCAAGAGACCCCTTAGTCTAATATATCTTTTTAACACTCTTGTGAGACCGATCCTTTCCTGTTGCAAGATGCAGGATTAACTATACAAATAATAAAATGCGACTTTTTTAAAGATGAGGTAGAATATTTAAGTTACATGATTGATAAAAACATGTTAAGAAAATCGCCTCAAAAAGTAAATGCCATCATAAATGCACAGGTTCCTAAGGATATTAAAGGACTTCAATTATTTCTTGGTCTCGTTAGTTTCTAGCTTATTTTAGTGGACGCCACACACGGTCAGTTCAACTGATCAGTTCAAACTAAAACTGTTGATATTTTTCAGAATATTGAGTTTTTGATTTATCGATAAATAAACATATATATGAAACTCCGATATTGATATATTTATAGTGATCGGTTGAACTAACCGAACTGACCGTGTGTGGCGACCATAACGCAGCAACTATTATTATAGGATGAACGCAGCCATCACCATACGTACATATATAGACATACTGTAGTAGGACATCATCATTAACCCATAGACGTCTCTCGTTTTGTAGGGAGGTCGCTGCTGCCTCGCAGATCAACTAATTAAGTTTTTTTTTATAGAACAAAGGCGACAAACGAGCAACCAGTCCACCTGATGGTAAGTGGATGCTGTGGACAAACACGTTTATCCCCAATTAAGAAACAACCTGCAGATGTGTTGTTGCGCTTGAGAACTAAGATGGAATGCCGTATTTCTACATAAAAAGCACGTAAATATTCACTTAGTTATATACTTTGTTATCTACCTGATGCTAAGTGAATGTTGTGGCATAGATAGTTCATTGTTACTCTGTAACAATCATTTGCCTTGAAGCGACGGCGTAAGAGACGATATAATCTCGGGTGATCTCGTCTTATCCACTTGTCCCGTTTAATCTTCTCGCTATTGTAAAGGTCGTTGGAGGGAAATGAAAGCGGAGATGGGTAGCAGAACCTTCCTGCATACCAAAAGAAACTTAAACTCTTCTCTTGTTGAATATGTTTTTCATATTCTTCAGGTTACCATCAGGTAGATTGGGTGCTCGTTTTTCACCGTTGTTCTATAACAAGCCTCCATACTTCCCACAATTGGGCACAGACCTACTCTGATTTTTAGACACGGGCTTCGAGCAGAGAAAATCGTCTGGCTTTTTGATATATCAGGCAAGGTATTTTATTGACATGTTTTCTCATGATATTTTCTTTTATATAGGCACGCAATGAGTCAACAAAAATAAAAATACTCAGTTACAAACACTTCATTCCACAGTGATGCCTGCGGAGATCAATGTGGAGAAAAGTGTGACTGTACTTAACTCACTTAAATATCACTTCTGTTTAAATTTTTAATTTTTGATTTCCCTTTTACGAAACACTAGAGGTAAACCGCCCTTGATAGACTGCACGATGCCGCTTCTTGGGTCTATCTTGGGGTTGCGTATCGTGGTGGGACCGGGCTCCACGGAGCAGCAGCACAGTACGGCCGCCAGTCCCGCCAGCGACTGCATCAAGCCCAGTCGTTCACCTGTTTTCATAAAAGTTGATCAAAATACATCGTTGGATAATGTGTATGTAATGCAAAAAGGCAGGTTGCGTTTTCATTTCCTGTACATATGTCTTCATAATTACTGCTGATATTTACATTAATTATACGCGAGGTAACTCGTATTGCAATGCCAACTTTATTATATATTTCTTAAAATATGTAATACCGTAAACGTTGTGATATAGATCAGGAATGTCCATCAAATCAAAAATTTAAGTTGTACTTATGTTGTATGTATGTTGTACAATATGGACTCACGTAGAGAGCTACATTTAGGGGGACTAGTCTTCAGTGTTATTAAGTTTAAGAAACCAGAGTACTTGCATGCAAAGATAAAGATTGCTAAGCAAGCAAATTCTGGAAAACAATTGAGATCCATAAGATCAGCACTCCTATATTACAGTCATAAAACAGCGGCATTTACCGGCAGTTTCCGATATATGGAAACGAAGTGTTGAAATAACATCCCACCACCAGTAAGAAATGTTAACACCAACTACAAGTTCAAAAATAAATTCAAAACATATCTTCTAGATAAACAAAAACAAGGTATTCCCAAACACTTCCTTTGTCAGCTATAAACCATGGCATGTTATTATCTTTTTTCTTTCTTTTTTATTTTACTAACTCATCATGGTTTTTAAGTCATTTAGGTACTAGCCTTAATTGGGTACGCAGCCTTACACATCTTTTCCGTAATTTTTTTACTAAATTAAACCCAAGATATAGATCATAGAGCTGAAAGGACACATCTTTCAGACATAATTACACTACAATAATATTAACGTGCAAAAAAAATAGTTTTTTTCCTTATTTCTTTCTGATTGCACTATTGTGCTCATTTTCTTCTCGCCACCTCGAGTTTAATAGCTGAAAATCAGTGTTTGCTCTCTGAGCAATATTAATCGCTGAGCTTATGACCCATTTGTTTTTAGATTTAAGACACATGTATATTTAGATCATAAGTTTATGTATATTTTTTCCATAATACTTTGATTGTATATCTAGTTTAATCGCTGAATTTACGTGTGTGATTGGAGATACAAATAAACGTTTATCTATCTATCTATCTACTTTTTTAAGGACAAAAATTAAGATTTTCTACGTCAATTAAAAAGTAACCTAACAGCCTTTCTACGTCCCACTGCTGGGCACAGGCATCTCCATATTTCTAAGAGGGGTTTATTTTAAAACAGGAAATAATTCAATGCGCTGACCTCCCTACGCCAGGCCAGTGATTTCCTTCCCAAAACCTTATATATGTGCGGAAGTAAGATAAATAAAATATTTCACTATAAATATTGAATATATTAAGAACCCACCCATCTTCTGAACCACCTTAACGGTACAATGTATATCATTTTAAGTTTTAAAACAATTGATTAAACTGTTTCTTTTGAGCATCGAGTACGCGTTAAATCAAATTCAAAAGTGCTATTAATAATTTCGTTGGTTTCGGCGAGGATCGAACTTAGGTTTTTCGCGTACTATGCGGGCACTTATTGCCTGAGCTACCACGGTACTCATTTCGTTATTAATCTATAAATTTAATTACTAGGCTCAAATTAATACAATTTCAAAACAAATAAATAAATTACTTATTTATTTGTTTTGAAATTGTATTAATTATCTAGCGAACGAAGTCGCGGGCGCAGCTTAGTTAAAACTGAAAACTCGTTGAAATTCGGGGTCATTCATCGTCATTCTCGGTTATCAAAAAATAATTAATCGTTTAAGAAAACGTCGAATTGGGCTTGATTATTTGAATTGTCTTGAAGCATTTAAATTTATCAGATAACAAAACAAGACAATACAAGATAACAAAATAGATCTACTATTTTATGATAATGTATAATTTAAATCTAGCTTTGCTAAATAATTGTGAATTTACTGTGTTAATAGTTTAGAATAATTAGTTCAAATAAAATGATGGTTTTCATATCTATATAAATAAATAGAAATGAAGTGTATGTTTATAATATCTAAATATCAGCTGTTTACTAAATGCATATGAAAGCATATACGGTACATATACAATAAAAAAACAATTTTTAAAATTTTTGTTCGTCTCTCTGTCTGTTGGTTGCGGCTGAACTCAAAACCAGCTGGAGCTGAACCGATTTTAACGGGGCAGCTAACCTTAGTACGACATATTACTTTTATTTTAGAAAAAGAAGTAGGGTTCCGTTCAAAACAATTAAAACCGATAAAACCCAATCATAATAAAGTCCAGGCAGACGAAGTCGCGGGAACAGCTAGTTAACAATATTAGTTTTAGTGGTAGATACTTACCGATGCAAGCGCGAGGTCCGAGGCCAAATGGCAAGTACACGTATTTATTGTTAGAATCAAATTCTTCGGGTAGAAACCTTTCCGGCCGGAACTGCTCGGGATTGGCGAAGTATTGCGGATCATTATGCATCGCTTGTAGCGGAATAAAGACTACAACTCCCGGGTCAATTGTCACGTTAATTTCAGGAATCGTATATTTGCTCACGCACTGACGAATTAAAAAGCCTAAGGAAGGGAACATCCTCATGCCCTCTTTGAACGCGCACTCCAGATACGTCATTTCCTTAATTGCGTCGTAACTCATTTTGTTGTCATGTTTAGCCAAGACCCGATCGATTTCTGACTGTACTTTTTTTTGTACCTCAGGATTATACGCCAACTGGTGTAAAGTGTAGCTCGTGGCAGATGATGAAGTCTCGAAGCCGGCGGCGAAGAATACAAAGACTTGCGCTGCCATTAGTAAGTCATCCAACTCCAATTTTGCGATTTCGGGTGTTCCATCTGGTTTAAAGTGCTCTATAGACTCTCCTACGATTGTACCTTTAGCTTTGCATTCTAACAGCAGGTCTATAAAGTCGTTACGCCCCGACGGTTGATAGTTCCTTTGCTTCAGGATTTCCTTTACAAGAGGAACGATGTCGGCCTCCACTTCCCCTTGCGTTTTTGCATATTTAAATATTTCAGGGAACATAAGTTTAAGCATACCAATAAAAAGCTGCTTTGCGTTGGCTGAAAAGATTTTAGCTCCTAATTGTCTGAATGGTGAGTTCTCGTCACTGAGCGAGTCCGATTCAAGACCGAAGCCACAAGCTCCGATAAAATCAGTTGTGTAGCGAGCCAGCAATTCACGAGCGTCTAATGTGCGGCCACTTGAAGCGGCGTCCAGGACTCGCGCTTGTAGCTTCTCTGCTCGCTCGACGATCAAAGGGAACATTGCCTTCAGCTTGCCGCTGGTGAACGCCGGGGTCATGCGCTGTCGCAGCAACCGCCAGACGTCACCGTCCGCAAAGAACAGATTACGCAGCATCGGTTCAATGACTTTCTTGTGTACGTTTATACCACGCGGATAAAAGTGAATGAAGTCAGTCGTTAAAATTCTTTTCACAATTTCGGGATCTCTCACCACGAGCTCCGGTCGAAACGCTCGGTAGAACCCGACGAGCTTCTCTTTTGGATACTTCCAGTACATTTCAGCCGCCATTTCAGATGGGCTCATCTGCATCAGGAAATTTCTCGCATTGTTGCCAAGGAACGGTATAGGCTTGTCATGTTTAATTCCCCTCTGCTTCCAGTATTTATACGTCCATGTGCCGTATATATATAGCGCTAGAATAGTAAGTAGTACAATAATTAAAGTTATCATGTTGAACAACACACAACTATTTGGCCTCGAATGTTTTTGCCGACTGATGTGAGACGCGGTACGTCGTTTTATTATTAACATACATTATCCAAACAAGTTCATGCAATTTAATTCAAGTGAGTCATCATGAGCATCAAGATTTGTAACACTTATCAAACCCACGGTGAGCGCTGTGTAATCTTTGTTATTTATAAACTTTATCGATGAATTTAAAGTTGATAAAAATATATTAAAAACATACAAAATGATGTTTAAATTTGTACTTGCTTTTTAATTTTGTATAATTTTGTACAGGCATTTGGGCGAAGGGTTTTTATGAAAAATTTGGTAAATGTGTCTTATCAAAATTAACTTATTTGAATAAATGTACTATGCTTGTACGTCAAATATTTTAGAATTGTTATATTTCTGATGTTTTTTTATTTACGTTCAAACTTGCGTAAAAATTACTGTTAAAATACGCATATTTGGTTTGTTGCATGTTTATTAATATAAAGTCCTAGATAAAGACTATTCAAGTCTATTTTATGCTCATTTTCAGACGCACATTATCAAGCAATGGAGTAATGAGTTTTCTGGCGGTGTAAGAATATCGACTACCCTATACCATCCTGTGGGTTCCGTGAGAGGCGACAGCGTGAAACAAATCGATTGTAGCATTGTTTGTCCGTCCGTCCGTGCACCGACGTGCAACTGTGAAATACTATTGATTTCATCATCAAAAACAACACGTGGTCCCGCGGGTGCCGTACGTGGCGACAGAGGGACATGAAACAGGAGCTGGGCAGCAGCACCTTCCTGATAACTAATCAAATTAAAAATGAGAACTGTGTTTGCCAACCCGTTGTAGCTACGGCTAATTTCCCCCCTATTGGAAGGAAGGATTCCATAGGGGAAGCCTGTGTACAGGAGGGGATTTTTGATAGACTGTAATGATGATGATGATTCTTCACGAGCGTGAACCTTCCACGTTCTAGCCGATCCATTCGGTAGCTATAATACTGCGTATGACCTGGGGAAAACCAGCACAGTTTCCTTCCGAGCATTTAGCAAAGCACACGAAAAATGATAATGAAAGAAAAATTGCTGTAATTTATTCAATACAAGAGGAAGCGGCATCAGAGACGGAGAAACTTGAGTGGCTCAAGTGTTCATCTGTTAAAGACTACCAAATATAAGTGCCATTTGCTGTAGATAATATCGGTCCGTGGGTTCCACGTGCAGGTAAGTTCCTAAGAGAACTGCTCCCGCGAAATTTTGTTACTGTTGGTGATTAGAAGGTTGATTACTTTACCACTCAAAGCCTATGTATAGCCATTTTCAGCTAGCAGATACTGGCACTTTAGCGCGGGTATAAAGACCATATGATAATTTAAGTTTTTGGGTTTATTTTTTTATTACTGAAATAAATATGGCAAATTAATTAATTTCCTGGAGTGTTTCTGAGTGATAAACTTAGAAATGAGGATATCCGCAGTAGAACTAGAGTAACCGACATAGGTTAATGGATCAGTAAATTGAGTGGTATTGGGCCGGCCATATAGCTTGAAGAACAGATCGATAGGGAAGAAAGGTTCTTAAGTGGCCTCATACCGGTAGGCGAAGTGTGGGGCAAACCCCCACTCGGTGCAGAGACGACGTAGGTGGCTCCAGACCGAGATTTATGGCATTCCTTGAGGGAGGACTAAGTTCAGCAGTGGACTTGTAAAGAACTGTCATGAAAATGATGATGTTTTTCTTTATAGAATAAGAGTAACAAACGAGCACACAGTCCACCTGATGATAATTGGATACTGTGGTCCATAGACATCTACATTTATCCTTGTTTAAGAATCAAAACGCAGATGCGTTATCACCCATCAAGACTAAGATGGAATGCCTCGTTTCCAGTAAAAAGGTTTTCTACACTCACTATATGAAATGACAACATTAAGCTGCTATTTGACGCTGGTATTCTGTGAGAGGGTGGTTCTTCCCCGGTCGAACCGACCCATTCGCGCTACAACCATAATATAGCTGTAGCGGGCTCTACAATGATGATGATGATGATCAATAAATTCAAGCTAAGAATTCTGTGATTATTTAAAAAGATTTTTATTTGTGTTTACTTGGAATTTCACACAGCATCCGTAATTACCGCATCCCGAACGTTAGTTAATTGTACGCTTAATGACGTCACCAGACGCGTTCTCGCGGCACTATTACCTGTGTGAAAGCGGACATTACCTGAAAGCTGTCGCCCAATTGTAGAATAATTGTAACTGTTCCATTTAAACTCCTACAATCCCCACAAGAACATACTACGTATCACTGCCTCGTTGGGCTAGTGATCGTAAACGCGGCTGCTGATCATGAGGGCACGGGTTCGCATCCCGGGGCGGAAATCGGTTATTTGGGTACTTCTATCAAGAAATTTTTAGGAAAAGCCCGTAGTCAGGAATTCGTTATTGTTTCAACTACCCCTTGCCTCGGAAAGCACGTTAAGAAGTTGGTCCTATGCCTGAACTCTTTCCGATCTTGTAGAATTACCGTCCCATCGGACTATGTGAGGGAGGGAATAAAGAGAGCACTTGTGCTTGTGCATACTAGGGCACTATAATCTTGTCCAGCGCAGATAGCTAGTTTTCGTTGTAGGTTGGCCTCCATGAACGAAATTCCGTCTTTTCATTGTAAGTATAACTGCACCATCCCAATGGTGTTCAAGTCCTGGAACTTTCTACATACTCCGACAAAATAACCGTAACAACTTATTTAGGTACAAAAAATCTCCCCACTATGTCTAATAGGAGTTCGAACTTCGCAGACGTATTAGTAAACGCAGTTTCTTATAAGTTTTTATTTGAAAGGTTTTTTTATGGAATAAGGGTGACAAATGAGCACAAAGTCCACCTGATGGTAAGGTGGATACTGAGACTCACAGCTACATTTATCCTCAATTAAAAATCAAAATGCAGACGCATTGTCACCCCTGACGACTAAGATGGAAAATGTATCCCCGTATCCAGTAAAATGGATTTCCGGTGCTCTACACTCACCAGACGAAATACAACATATTTTACGTGGTAGAGTTACGCTGCAGCTATATTATAGTTGTAGCACGAATGGGTTATCTCCACCGAGGCAGGACCACGCTCTCACAGAAAACAAGCGTAAAATAGTAGCGTAATGCTGCTGTGTTTCGTATGGTGAGTGTAGAGTACTGGAAACCCTTTTCATTGAAATCGAGGCATTCCATCTTAGTCTTCAGAGATATTAACGAATTTGAATTTTGATTCTTAATTTTGGATAAATGTGGATATCTATGGGTCATAGCATTCACTTACCATCAGATGGACTATGTGCTCGTTTGTCACATTATGAAAGATTATAGCACCGTTTAATTAGCAGATAATCGATGATATCAAGAGATTTTCAGACCGCCGCGTTGCTCCAGTTGGCGATCTTCAAATCATGTACTTGATACATTTTATTCCTCAGAAACGCAGGTTTCCTCGCGATGTCTCTTTCATCATCGAGCACATGGTAAATCAGCACTTAAATTGCAATCAACAATTACTTCGGTGCCGACGAGGATCGCTTCCGGGACCGATCTTTGCTCATGTACTGTGAAGTTTACGGTAAACGTTTAACCCCCCAAACTACCAAGGTTCTATCAAATCGCTACTTCGCACTCTCATGGTGTAAAATGGCCCGAACTGCACTTGTACATTAGCCTGCCCCGTCCACGTGTTTATTTATTTTATTTTATATTTTAAAACAAGTTTTAATTTTAAATATTCGCAAGCTCACGAAACTCTCATAATATTTATGGTAATTAACATTTTTTTCAAATATATATTCTAAAGAACAGAGAAGTGCACTCAGCGGGTAATCAAAATACATCTTGCGGCTTTAAAATTGGACAAGCTTACTGCAAAACTTGTTACCACTGTAGGAGTGAGTGGTGAAAATCATTTTATTCATTCACAATTATTGTTTGTCCCTTTTAGTGACGGAGTAGGGGAATCAATTGTCTAGACATCCGTAATACCACGTTCACCCTACATAAAATTGTATCTATCTATGTCACTTAAAACATCGTTTAGTATTCGCGTGACTCTGTAACTCTCTAAGGAAGTCGGTATTCGGTATTACAAGGTGATACGCGATTTTTGATGGATTTGGTGTGCTTAGATTTAAAAATATACAAGTACATAATATTGTATATTAATACGTATTGGATAAGAGCCGTGGCAGCTCAGATGGTTAGCGATTGCTGTAAATTTCATAGCACCAATGAAATTGTTAATTGCAATTTTAACTGGTGATTTACCACGTGCTCACCGGTGAAGGAAAACATCATGAGGAAATCTACATGTCTGAGAAATAAAAAAAATATTTTGAAGACATACGAAGTTCGAGAACACGCATTGGGGCAGCGCGGCGGACACTTCCTTGCCCTAAAACACTCTCAGAAATTAGAGGAGGCCTGTGCCAAGCAATGGGGTGTATATAAGTTGTATGTAACTTTAACTATTACGTATTCTATATCCAACAACGAAGTGTCGTAGTGGGCTTATCTGTTCTAATCAAATATAATAGATATATACGCTTGTGGATCGTTCGGTATTCCGCGGGCAAGGTGTTCAGCCCGAGGAGCGGCCAACGCTCCGTGAGTTATTTCAGGGCTATCTACTATATATAGCGCGTTTACTTCAGAACTTTGATAACATTATTTAGGCTTCGGTGCACTTCGTTTACGTCGCGACGACATCGCCGCAACACGTATAAGTAGTTAGGTTGTACCAGTTCTGGCGCACTTGTAGAAAGGTTGTACCAGTTCTGGCGCACGAAGTTCGTCGACTCACAATCCTAAAAAAAAAAACAACAAAAAAAATAAAGGTTTTGGCATGCTCTGATCACGAATCTGCGGTCCATTTTTGCGTAGGATGCACGGTTCCGGAGATGTGCAGATCAATTAACTCTTATCTAATTGATATCCGCTGCGAGCCTCAACCGTC